CCCCCATTCTTCTCTCCAACGTATAAAACAATAAAAAAAAACCCCACCTAAACCCACCAACCAACCAGCCAACTAACCAACCAACCAACCAACAAACAAACAGCCAGCCAACCAGCCAACCAAGCAACCAAGCAACCAACAATCAAACCGCCAACCGACCAACCCAACAACCATACAACTGGTGGAAAGTTTCCCCCGCATAATTTAGCAAAATTTGATCATTTTTTGCATAATTTATGATTATTTTCCTTTATCATTCTTTGATAAAATTAATAGAATCGCATATTTTCACATTCTTGGGGTCAGTTTGCATGATTTCATAGTTTTTTTTGCATAAAACTACGGGGACAGATTTACCGCACTGCGTCCTTGAAGACGTCAAGGGCCGCTGTCTCCCTGCCCGCCATTGTGTCCAGCAACCAGGCCGTCTTCTCGAACATTCCCAACACGGACCCCGCATCCTGGATGTCCAGTCTCTGGCACGTTCGCAGCACAAGCGACTGGACCTGGGTGGGTGGGTGGGTGGGTGGTGGTGGTTGGGGGTCATTTGTTTGTTTATTTGTTTGCTTATTTGTTTGTTTGTCTGTTTGCTTGTTTGTTCACTTGTTTGTTTGTTTGTCTGTTTGTTTGTTTGTTTGTTTGTTTATGATGTCACCAGCGGCTGGACCTAGGTGGGTGGGTGGGTGGGTGGTGGTGGTTGAGGGTCATTTATTTTTAGTTTTAGTAAGAGCTTTACGGCACTTGCAACACAATAAAGTCATATAAATGCCGAGGATTAGAGGTGTTACAAGTGAGTAACAAACACAAAAAAGAAGGAGGGGGGAAAGAGACGACAGATTTTTGACAGGGAAGAAGGAGCAAACCACACCAGAGCACCTACCAACCGCCCACTGAGGGTCATTTGTTTGTTTGTTTGTTTGTTTGTTGGTAGCAACAACTGGACCTGTTGTTGGTGGTTGAGGGACATTTGTTTGTTTGTTTGTTTGTTTGTTTGTTTGTTTGTTTATAATGTCACCAGCGACAGTACTTGGGTAGGGATGGTTGAGTTTTGACCTTGCCAGTGGTGGTTGAGGGTCATTTGTTTGTTCGTTTGTTTGTTTGTTCATGACGTCACCAGCGACTGGACCTAGGAGGTGGCGGTTGGCGGACATTTGTTTGTTTGTCTGTTTGTTAATGATGTCACCAACGACTGGGCTTGTGTGGTGAAGGTAGAGGATCATTTGTTTGTTTGTCTGTTTGTTTGCTTGCTTGTTTGTTTCATTGTTGGTTTTTTTTCAATTGATCTGTTTTTTTTCAATTTGTCTGTTTATAATGAAACTTTCAGTAACTGCAGCCCCCACTACAATGACATCATGACACCATCTTCCACTCTCCCCAACCCTCCTCCCCTCCACCCCTCTTTCCCAATTTACTCCTCCTTCCATCCACCCTTCCCCCCTCTCTCCTACTTCCATCCACTCTTTCCCCCTCCCTCCTCCCCTCCATTCACTTTTTCATCTTCTTCCCTCCCTCTTTCCCCTCCTCTTTCCCTCTCCCTCCCCCTTCCTTCCCTCTCTTTACTCCCTCCCTCCTATCCTCCCCCCTCCTCCTCCTCCTCCTCACCCCTCCCCTTTTTCTTCCTCATTCCCTGTCCCCTTTCCCACCACCCCTCCCTCCTTCCCCGTCCCTTCTCTCTCTCACTCCTCCTCCTCCTTCTCCTCCTCCTCCTCCACCTCCTCCTCCCTCCCCCTTTTCCACTCACCAGTTTCCCTCTTGTGTACCTAGCATGGCACGCCTCATCATCCTCAGGGGTCACTCTCTTCTTGGACAAGTCGATGTACTCTGGGAGAGGAGGGGGTGGGTGGGGGTGGCGGGTGTGGGGGTGCAGAGATGAGTGAGTGAGTGAGTGAGTGAGTGAATATAATACGTGTTTATGGGGACGGATGGAAAGAGAAAGATA